AGCCTGTGGAGCGCAATTATTTCTTCTTCTCCACGACATCGACAAAGACATGTCCCAGGGGACCGGCCTCAGCACTCCATCCTCCATGCTGGATGGTGTACTTGTCGCTTTTGTCCAGCACCTCGACCAAGTTGGCGTAGTCTCCACCCCGGTTTTCCCAGTGGAGCTCACAGATCTTGTCATTGTCATGAAATAAGTCCAGGCGGCCCTCACTACCACGACGGCTGCTAGCGCCGATCTCGCCAACGCCATCGTGGGAGATCTTGATCTCGTCAACCTCCTCTTCAGTGAGGGACTTGCGTCGGTTGTTGGGGTCGGTGAACTCGGCGCTGCCGAGTGTTAGTAGAGATCTATTATATCTCTGTAATCATAGATACCCTTCAATCACAGTGTTTTGCACCAGGATCTCGCCATCTTTGATGTGGTCCCGAATGTGGAACGAGACCCACTGGGAATTGTACTTGTCCATATTATCCATATTGAAAATCTGTGAGGTATTTGTGATAATTGATGAAGAATTGTAGAAGTGAGACTCCTGGAGTTCAATTCAGAGATGTCAACCTTTTATATATATATTACCCCAGAATGCGGGGAATGCTTGTAGTGATGTAATTCATTCTACACACGTCCGAATGGTACGACCGCCAACCCCATTGTCCAATAACCTACCCGAACCAGAGAGCCTTCCTGGTCTTGCGGGGTTTACGTGCCTATCACCTCGTCTTACTACATCACTGGCCGCGTTATTTGAACGCCTAGTGCGGAGTGGCATGATAATTGGGCAATGAGCACATGACATGGCTGGTTTGAAGTTATGTGAGGGATCATACCATAGTTCAGTACGGCAAGACAACAAGACTCTAGCAAAATAAGAGATGGGACCACCGAGTCTCCAGCTTCCGACTTGCGGATCAGACACATATAGCAAAGCCACCTCTCGTTGAGTGAGCCCGCGTAAAAGCCGGGGTATAGAAATTGCAGCTAGCGAGTCATGTATCACACTATTAATGTCGGGATGTAAGCGAAGTTTAATTTACCTCATGTGTGACAACATGCACAGTTAGCCCAGTGAATTACTACACTAGTAAATTAATGCACGCCAACTATAAATCCGGGGCGGGCGGCCGGGCCGTAGATAGCGAGGCTCTTCTACAATTTCCTTTAAATAGTATAGAACTATTAATACGAAATTCGATGACGAATATTGGACAAAATCAAAATGGCTGTGAGTGGCGTGCATAGCCAGCTCCACTTCGCCCTTCTACTTAGTGACCGTGGCAGCATCTTCGGGATTTTCAATGCATGTGCTAATGACCTTTTCGGGTTGGTTGAAGAGTTGAGCAGCTGATACTGACTTGCTTCGACGTCATAATAGGGACCTACCTATGTAGGGTATCTAGAGATCAACAGGCGACCGCAGTTGATTGAAGCGTATAAAGATTAGCAGCGTGGATCTCCTCAGATATAAGGAGCAGCGTCTAGGTTGTTGTCTTATAAACAAGCATTACACCATATTCAATGATCATTTGATACATACTTCTATCAAAGTTCTCTCATTTCATGAAGTTTCAATTGACCTTCATATCACACTACACTTTAATCGACCTATTTATCCTCACCTTCTTTTAAGAAATAATCTCATTTCAACATTTCAATTCTTGCTATGAAACCTGCAAGTCATTGAAAACATGAATTGCATCATCAACGAACATGGCTCGCGGAGGCAGAGGCCCCCGAGGGCGACGACTGACATGCCCTCTGCACTATTACAGTACTTGATCGGTATACCGAGCATCAAGGCAGTAAAAGTGTGCTCAAATGGGCATTCAACCACAGTAGAATCCACTCACATCCTATCCCTCCAATGGACCGAGTGATCTACGTGCTATGAGAAATCCGAATCCGAAATTGCCACCGCAGAACCTTCGCATAGTGTCTTTGTTAAGTATTATTCTTCTTTCACATTGGATATCGAGAATTCATGCTAGCATTAAATCAATGAAGCTAAATTTATATTAGTGCTCCTTCTCTTACTTTAGCTAGTCCGAGGGTTGAGAAAATTCATATGGTGCTCAAGTAGAGTAAGCCATACAAAAGAGACCTAATTGGGGAGATGTTGTGTTGGGCGCTTAGCACGGTTATATACATTTTTTAATTGAAATTCTAGCTTCTTATCCATAGTTATGACTTTGAGATGTGTCGTTGCCACTTCCAAGTTATCTATGGGATGTAAAATCTTGGGAGAGTCTAGATGGTACCTTGCGTACCGACATGTAGGTACAACATACCTAGTTAGGTATAGAACATTTGACTAATTGATCCTTATGATAACTATCATGGCTCACATCGTACAACATAATGATGTGTTACCTAAATGCAGGGTGCTGCATTTCCAAGCTCGGAGAAGCCCTGATACGCCCATTTTATGCTTATCGCATGAGTCATCCGATCTGTGCCGATGAGCTCGATAAGGCAATCGATTCAGCTCTCGTGACACTCCAGAATGACCCCAAGATCTGTTCTCTCCAGTTCCTGCTTCGTTCACTTACTTACTACCTTCTCCTTCCAATTTACTCGGTCTATTAGCTCTACTAGACTTAGAGCATACATCCTCTCTTCTTCATCTCGTTCACATCGGATCCGCTTATCGCCCTTACCCCATACTTTGATGCCACACGGTCCTACGCGAGTCACTACTCGAGGCTGTACAAGTCACCATACCTATCAAAGACACCCTGATCGTTAGACCATGTCTCCTCCACTATTACAGTACCTCCTCTCTGGGACCCTTCCTGACCACTGTGAACCGACCTCGCCCTTCCTGACCGCCGTCTCCTCACATCTCCACATCTGCATCCCCACTCCTCTCGCGGCGATCTCTTCCGTCCTTGGGACCCTCAGCATAGTCTCATGGCTCTTCGCACAACTACCCCAGATTTATAAGAACTACCAAGTGCAGTCGACGTCAGGCTTATCGATATTTTTCTTGGTAATCTGGTGCCTTGGTGACGCGAGCAACCTCGTTGGAGCGCTATATACCCGACAGGCAGGGTGGCAGGTCGTGATTGCCAGTTATTACGTCTTCGTTGATATCGCTCTGGTATTCCAGTTTTTCTGGTACACTCATTACAAACCTCGCCAGAATGATTCGTATGACGACCTGTCACACTCGCATGACTCGGCTCGTCGAAACATCATTCAAGGCGTGCCTCCTCCAGGCCACGACTCAGACAATCAGACCCCGGCTCCCGTGAACATGAACAACAAGCACCCCGAGGCCAAGGATGGGGGCTTCCAGGCCGGGTCAGCACTCGACTCGACTCATGCGCCAACAGCGTCATACTCAAACGAGAAATTGAGCTCATCGCGTCGATCTGTAAGGTTGGGCAGCAGCATGCAGAGCCCGCCATTCGCACTACCCCGGACGATGCTCATGGCATCACTCCTTTGTGCCGTACTCGCAAACGCTGCCCCCACCGACAAGCCTGACACGTTTATTTCCGACGCACCGCGGGAGACCATCGTCGAGATCATCGGCCGCGTCTTCTCCTGGATGTCAACAATCCTGTATCTCGGCTCACGCCCTCCACAGCTATACAAAAACTATCAGCGCAAGAGCACTGAAGGTCTTTCCCCACTGCTCTTCATGGCCGCATTCTGTGGGAACCTGTTCTACTCCAGCTCGATGCTCACCAACCCGAATGCTTGGTCCGATTTCTCCCCATATGGCGGCGGCGGCTGGGCGGATAACCACGGCAATAACAGATTGGAATGGATTGGACGCGCTACGCCGTTCTTCTTGGGTGCATTCGGTGTGTTGGGACTGGACGGGTTCATGGGTGTTCAGTTTCTCATGTATGGCGATGGTCCAGAGCACGAGGATGACGAGAGTTTCATTAGTGGCGATGGGGATGACCCAAAGCGCGGTCGCAGTCGCTGGAGGCATGTTCACGGCTGGATGCGAGGCTGGATCCCCTCTGCTTCGCCCCGGAGGGACTCAAGGGAATCTTCGGTTTCTCAAGAGGGACAGGCTTTGTTGGGCGCAGAGCGCGGCCGCTACGGTACTGTTTGATCGTGGCTGTTTATATGCGTATCTTTTATTCTTCTTTTGTTTCTTGCCCACGTCTCTTGCGTAGGGTAGGTATGTTATATATGATGTGATGACTTCAGCGCTTTCATTTTTCTCACTTAGCATTTTCTTGTCTTTTGTTATTCGGGTGCATTTTGTGTGATTGGGTACATCGGCTTCATTCGCTTTCCATATGACCTGTTGTGTTTCCTGGGCGTTTTGGGGCTAGATAGCATATACAGGTACAACCAGACTGTCATTGGGGATTTTTTGGTTGTTGACAGCCTATAACTCTGAGATCTTCTTTTTCTTGTGCAATGCATTGTCTTTAAACTTTATGGCATGTCTTAGATTTCCCGGTTACTGATGGGCCATAGCGCACATTTACAAAAATAGACCAGGCTATTGAAAGGCCCATGCCACGGTATAAGCCGAACGGAGGGGACATCAAAACGTGGATACCCCTGATATTAGTTATTTCATGAATTTCTTGTGATTTCAGGAATAAAGTGAGAAATATGGCGTCTACAATAAGCCCAATCTTCCCGAGACTCTTAGACAGCAAGGGACAGCAAGCCATGCCAGGTGCCGGTAATCATTTTACAAGGCTTCCCAAGCCCTAAGTGGAAGAATAACACGATTCTAGTCACTCATTTGATATGTGCCTGGTCCCTTAAAATCCATGCAGGAACCAATTGCCTCGTCTTGAGCGAGACAATCCTCGCTTCAAATTGCCATATTTTCCAAGTGGAGCAGTAACGCCACAGACTTGGGGAGATTACTAGTATGTAGCCATCCGGGGGCTAAAAGCCCACGATATCCTCTCATTCACTTACTCGCTTGCTCACTTGCTCCTCTAAACATTCTTTTGCTCCTTTGTGGTGATTAGTCACCCGTCCATTCGTTTACATTGGCTAGATTCTATACAAAAATGATGGTCCAAAGCTGCTTGATGTGGCTTGTCCACGTTCTTCCGGCTGTTGCACTCACTATCACCGCGCCTGGTCAAACTATTCCCTCTTTAGCTCCGCTCTTGGGTTGTGGTTCTGAAAACTTGATTGAGGATGTGGCTTTCGAGACTATCGATCTCGATGACAGTGTGTGGACTGTCCTCCCGCCCGCGGCCGGTGCTGCTGTCGATGGATACTTGTTCGTACCTACCTAATCATACATACAGACCAAAGTTCCTTGCAGAGTATAAATGAACTGACTCGTATTTTGTGATAGGCATCTGAGTGCCGAAGCTATCCAATCGCAGGCCCTGTTGATCCAGACCGTTACTGGCGCCGTTGCGGAAGAGACTTACTCTGTCTCTTTTGATTTCCGCCTGACAGCTGGCTCTTGTACCGTGGATCTAGTACTGAATGATGCAAATGTCGGCGTTAGCACTCTTACAGCCGGTTCCTGGCAGACTATCACCAAGCAATGGACGGCTGTTAGCTCAGAAGCCGACATGCTCATCCTAATTAATTGCCCTGGTGCCACGATATCGGGCGCAACAGTGGATGTGAACAACGTCTCGTTCGAGAAGAGATGTGGTTCATTCACCTCGACCAGCGTCTCGGTCCCTACCAAGACCCCATCGGGCTCGCCTGTGGCCACCAGCACTCCGCTCGCCTCTTCTGTCTCCCCATCTGGCCATTCTAGCTCCGAGGGATCGGGATCTTCATGGCTCTCCTCAGTATCACCAAGTAGCACTGTAGGCCCTATCACCTTGACAACACCTATCACTGCTTCTAGTGGTGCCATCAAGCCCTCAGCCTCAACCCCTGGAGCACCGGCATTTTCCCAGTCCACCGCACCGACAACAGCTGCCTCCGTGAAGCCAACTAGCTCTTCCCCAGCTGGAACTCCTGCGCCACATACAACAACCACTATCACTGGACCTGTAAACCCCGCTTCCAGCAGTGTCATCGAGTCCTCGGCCTCGACACCGGGAACACCAGAATCTTCAGAGTCCACCGCGCCGACAACCGCTACATCCGTGAAGCCAACTAGCTCTTCCCCAGCTGGAACTCCTGCGCCACATACAACAACCACTATCACTAGACCTGTAAACCCCGCTTCCAGCAGTGTCATCGAGTCCTCAGCCTCGACACCGGGAACACCAGAATCTTCAGAGTCCACCGCGCCGACAACCGCTACATCCGTGAAGCCCACTGGCTCTTCCCCAGCTGAAACTTCTACGCTGGATACGACAACCACTATCACCGGACCTGTAAACCCCGCTTCCAGCAGTGCCATCGAGTCCTCATCCTCGACCCCGGGAGCACCAGAATTCTCAGAGTCCACCGCGCCGACAACCGTTGCATCCGTGAAGCCTACTAGCTCTTCCCCAGCTGAAACTCCTACGCCGGATATGACAACCTCTACTGTCTTCACCACCCGCACTGCGACTATCACAGCCTGTCCCTCGACTATCACCAACTGCCCAGCCACTGACAAAACAACTCACATTACAACCGAGACTATCATCGTCTCGACCACCGTCTGCCCTGTTGGAGATGCAACGACCACCACCGATGGATCCAGCCCTACCGGCCCATCTGGCAGTGGCAATGACTACACAATCTCAACAATCCTCTCAACCAGAACTGTCACCTTAACCCAATGCCCGGAAACAGTGACTGACTGCCCAGCCCGGGACCAGACAACACACGTCACGACAGAGACCATCGTTGCCGGTACCACCTCGGTCCCGATCAACACCGCTGTGACCACCACGGCACCTGGTGCAGTGCATACATCGACTGTTCCTGTACAGACGGCGACTGCTGTCCTTAGCAGTGACACAAAGACTTCAACCGCATACTCTGTTGGCACCATCACAGGCACCGCTACTGCCGAGGGATCCAGCCCTACCAGCCTATCTGGTAGTGACAATGACTACACAATCTCAACAATCCTCTCAACCAGAACTGTCACCCTAACCCAATGCCCGGAAACAGTGACTGACTGCCCAGCCCGCGACCAGACAACACACGTCACTACTGAGACTATCGTTGCCGGTACCACTTTGGTCCCAATCAACACCGCTGTGACCACCACGGCATCTGGCGCAGTGCACACATCGACTGTTCCTGTGCAGACGGCGACTGCTGTTGTTAGTAGTGAGACAAGTATTTCGACTGATTACTCTATTGCCATCGTCACAGGCACTGCTACCACTGAGGGAGATGTGATCAGTGAGACTGGTGTTTCTCACGTTGGTGAAAGTGGACCTGGTTCCGGAGTATCGGCGAACCAAGGTGAGGGTGAAGATGAAGATTCGACCGGCTCTAGCTCTGGCTCTGGCTCTGGCTCTGGCTCTGGCTCTGGCTCTGGCTCTGGCTCTGGCTCTGGCTCTGGCTCTGGCTCTGGCTCTGGCTCTGGCTCTGGCTCTGGCTCTGGCTCTGGCTCTGGCTCTGGCTCTGGCTCTGGCTCTGGCTCTGGCTCTGGCTCTGGCTCTGGCTCTGGCTCTGGCTCTGGCTCTGGCTCTGGCTCTGGCTCTGGCTCTGGCTCTGGTATCTCCGCTGGTAGCAATACCGGCCACCCCTCTAATCTGCCCGGCATCACACGCATCAGCTCAGCCACACCTTCAATCTCCGCCGGAATCCACTCAGTCACAGCCAAGGTTTTCCCCGCCGCAGCCTCTTCTCCTACTGCTGCCACAGGCGCAGGTGCAAGCACAGGTTCGGGTTCTACTACTGAAAGCAGCAGCTCAGCAAGTGCATCACCTGTGTTCAACCGTGCTTCGTCCTCGACTGTTTCCGGCGCCTTGTCTGCTCTTGGTGTTATCGCTGCTGTCGCACTTTTCCTTTGAGTACATATCTCTTTCTGTATATTTTTGATATGGATAATAATGGATCCTGGCATTTTCCTAAGGACCGAGTCTATAGTTATATAATATATCTAGTAAAGCTTATGGTTTGCCTTTAGAAGGTCGATTGAGCTTTCAAAGTCCGAAGCTTTGTTTTGCAACATGCTTTGAATATTAACGATATTCCCCTTTTGCTCAAAAGGCCTTTGTATACGCCTGTCTAATTGATTGCTTTTCAATGTTTTCTTCATTGGCAGGCTTGTCACAGCCCATTCAGAGGCAGTGTAGTAAATTGTTCTTTTTTATCCAGGCATGCATGACCTAGGCACCTGACATAAAAGCCCAAACGCTCACCAAGGCATAGGATAGACCGGTCAGCCATATACAATACCGGCATATATGAGGAACCCAAAACAGAAATAGTAAGAAACAACCTGCGAAGAATCATACCATCATGACAAATGCGATAGTGCTTTCGAGGTCATTGATTAACTATCAACCTTATAGTTACTCCGTACAACATGCGTACCTACGTACTTGTGCCCTCTTATTTGCCTCCCCCGCCCTTAGGAGAAAGGAGGGGTGCTTGAGTTTTCCGATTTTTTCCTTAAATTACGGCGAAATGGAATCATATAGTGCAGCCAGGAAATATGGAGATGTTTTATTCTAGGGGAAAAGCTGCCGAATGTAGCCGGTCGGGCATCGTTGGTCCTGTTATCCTGTTTTTTCCTTTTCCTTTTTTTCTGTAGGTCCATTTATTGATGTATTTATTGTCTATATTGGTTAGAACCATCACATGTGGTGCAAGATATATATAGGCAGGTACTATGGTACCTTGAAAGAATCGGAGGAACTGCATCGAACATGGAGAATGGCAAGGCACGAGGTCCGAGGGGCTTCCTTTTTTCTTTCTGGAATTCATTAATACGCGCAATTTTCGATGCCTGTTATAGTTAAGTATTTCAAGTATTTAAGGATTAATAATGTATTTCTAGACCCCTCTTGGAGAAATGAGTTCCATATATATGGGACTTTTTATTGGCACGCAGAAGATGTATGCGCCTTTTAAGCAGATAGGCACATAAATATAGCGGGCTGTCAGCCTCAGATAAATACCTGCCAAGACACTGTTTTTGCCTCCAAGAGTAAGTACATGTACGGAGTACCTCCAACATATCCATTTGCCCATGCAGCATGACGCTACTCCGTATTAGGATGCAGACTGCAGAGATCAACATCCAGGTCTTCGCTGAGGGCGGAGTTGTCCACGGTGAGTCAGAGCCCCGGTTCCTCCCTAGGTGGCCAGTTAGACTGTGTCTGACATGTCAGAGCCCAGAAGAGGTAGGGGGAGTGCTAGTTATGTACGGAGTACGGAGTAGATGGAGTGTTTGTCAGATGCATGGTCTCGGTTGCCCTTGCTTAGGTGTACGGAATAATGGGCCGTGTGATTACATATCGAGGGATAGAATGACCCGGCGACAGCTGTAAGGTTTGTTAGTTTGACTATAGTGCCTACTTGTACTTGTACTCGGTAGTTGTACATAATTGGAGTTGGTTTGTTGGCAGAGTCCGGATGAACACATCCGTAGGTAGCACTACGTAGGGGTTTTGTAGATTAAGAAACGGAGGGATGCGGCATTTGATGTTCAGATGTTTTTTATAGATATGATAATGATAGTGATTTAATAAAGGGATGTTTAGTAACTACTCTTTACTATTCAAATTTCTTGAAAAAGAATTCCAACCGAGGCGAAGGAATATACTGAGCTTACTAAGCCCGAATTTCATTTTTTTCTGCCAAAGCTCAATACAAAGCTCCGTACCAGTCAGAACCAGCGAGAACCAGTGACACGGACGTTGCATCACCGGATTTGCCTTAAGGGTCTAGGGCCTTTTTCTTTACTATTAACAGCCTTACAATACAATTACATGATAATAACTGTGCACGTTTTCAACTTATTGGAAACGCAGGATAGCTTTTTATAGTAAAAAATAAAAAAAAGAGATAGTCAAGAAAACTAATAAGAAATGACGATCTTGTTAAATTCACATTCAATAAGCATCATGATTCATACTTTGTAGGTGGCCTAATTTACCTGATACTAGCAGAGACACGATGTGCGAAACAGCATTTGAGCTTTTTAAATTTAGAATTTCCATGTGTGGGCCGAGTGACTCCTTCCCTGTATACCAAATACATGTAAAATTACCGGGGCAACCCAACGGCCTTTTCCCACAACGCCCCTATACAACTTTTCTTCTCTTCATCCTCCTTCTCAACCCCGTTTTTTGTATCAATCTTCTCCCGTGTCAACGAGCTTTTCACTAAGTGTCGTTGATCACCTCATTCTGTGAGGTTTGCGTCTACGCGTGGGAAATTTAGTTTTCTTCCACCGGTGCTCTTCCTTCTTCCAGCGCGTTCGGTTCACACTTCTACGTGGGCTCTTCCGCTTCGCTTCGACCTGGTTATTCGCCTCTCAAAGCCCATTGAATTGACTGGATTGTGATCTATCACCCTCCCTCACAAGCTGCGTCACTGAGGCACTTCAAGCGAGGACTGTGTCATTCTTCACCGTTCACCACGCTCCTTCCAATTCCCATTTACTTGTCATTTGTCTGTTGGATCATTGAACGCACCTCGATGTCATTCAACTAGAGACTGCCCTCTAGGAATACGACAGAGCGATCCGCTCGCCGAGCACCGCTCTTCTCCTCTTCCTCCCCCCCCCCAGGATCAGGATCTGGTGGAGTAGACGGTTCGTCTCCTTGTTTCTTTAACTCTTGTCTCTCGGTCCATCAGGCTTTTGCCTACCCCGGAGGCCTTTTGTGCTGATTCATCATCTTCCCTGGCAACAGAATACGTCTAGCTCCCCGTCCTGAACTGGTAACCGCCCTTCCCCTTCTCAAGATGCCGTCCTTCTTCGTCCCAGGCCACCATGGCCTGCCTACGCCTCCCCATGTCAACGGTGGTCGTATGGAAGACCCATCATTCTACCCAGTTGGTCACGCAGGATTCCCTCCTCGCTACCACCAAAGCGGCAATGAGTTCATCGAACAATACTCGCAGTCTCTGTGTTACGCCAAACCCACTTCGATGAATCTCCACCAGTCCGCCCATCCGATGAACACTGCTCGCGATCATCACATGATGAACCAGCAGCCCATGTTCAACCCCATGGTTGGCACTGGATTGCCCTCAATCCGCAGCAACGTCCAGCTTCCCCCCATGGATGCTACAATGCCGCCTCACTACCGTCGACAGGAAGCCGCCCCGATGCAACAGCAGCTCGAACAACCCCGCAAGGAGGAGAAAGCAACTGGAGGTGTCGCAGCTCACCTGGATTATGAGATGGATCGCATGTCCGACTTTGTGGCAGAAATGGCTCAGGGAATGTATGATTTGTTCGAGACCAACATCACCATTGCAGATATTGACCTCGTGCGAAGCATCTACCCAGGATCTTCGGTTCCCCCCCAGTTTCGGAAATACGTCTTTCAGATTTTGTCCTCGACACGCCTCCCAAGTTCTACCATTCTGCTCGGTCTTTTCTATTTGGCCAGCCGTATGCGCCTGGTGTCAGCCAAACGCGCCTTCACCAAGGCAGACAGTAGCCAAGTCTACCGCATGTTGACTGTGGCTCTTCTGTTGGGCAGCAAGTTCCTTGATGACAATACCTTCCAGAACAAATCCTGGGCTGAGGTTAGCAACATCCCCGTTGCTGAGTTGAACCACATGGAATTGGAATGGCTTTTTGCCTTTGACTGGAAGATTCACGACCGCATCTACGACAAGCAGGATGGTTTCGCCTCGTGGCGCGCGCACTGGGACACCTGGCGGGTCAAGGCAACAGCTCGGACTCAGGAGTCTCGCCAGACTCTGGCACCTCTCGAGACCAACGTGGCCCGCAGCCAGGTTATTAGCAAGCCCCTTATGTCCCCCGAAGGCCCTATCCCGCCGCAGTACCAGCGGAGCTCCCAAATTGAGAACTCGTGGCTCAACCCGACCGCGTCCGAGTACTCGCCTCCCTCTGCCCTTTCCAGCGGGCCCACAACCCCCGACTACTACTCGGTTGGTCCTTGGGGTTACGCCAACCCGCCTCCACCTCCGCCCTACTCGCGGGGCTGGAACGCACCCTCACAGTACATGGTTCACCCTGCACCTCGCTCCCAGCCTCCGTCCTATCATCACACTCCGGCGTACGGCTTGCCATTCGCACAGAGTCTCTGGACGGGTCATGGTTCGTCGTGCTGCTGCACCTACTGTGCCAAGCATCTTGAGCACTACATGTGCAACAATGCATTTCCCTCTATGCATCAGCCGATGATTGCAACCTAGTTGGTGATACTTGGCAGGTTCTGCTCACGACCCCGGATGGAACAGACTGTGTCGACGGCTCAAGATCACAAGTCTCACCGCATATTGAATTCCTTCTTGCTACAGCTCTAGACTTCTTTCACCGTTAGTTTGGGCGACTCGCATGGGATTTCTTCCGATACCGTTTCTTCTTTTGCTTGAATTGTTTTCAATCTTGCGCCTTTCGACCTTTTGCTTCGTTTAGCTTTCACTTGCTTCTGAGCACTTGGCCTACCGCGTCCACAAAAAGTATTTCTGTTCTGCGTCCGCTGATTCTCGTTTGGCAAAGCGAAAAAAAACAACTCGAAAATGGAAAAAAAAAGAGGAAAAACGCTCCCACAGCGGACATTGGCATGCTCCCGGCAAACCCACAATGCAGAATATTGACTCAACTTGTTATATTGGTATCACTTTGATTTCATTGAGTCTTACTTCTAACCTCATTGTTGGGTCTTTCATCTTTCCCTCCAAAGGTTGCCGGGGCCGCAGTCACGACTATCACGAATCCCCAAAATCTGACTTCTTTGTTTATTACCCACGACTTCGGTTCATATCCTTGGTCCTTTTGTTTTATGCTTGGCATTTGTGTCTCGCGGTGATTACCTATAGAGTGCTTTTTCTTCTTTTTCACTTCCATTTCATTTCGGTACATTATTCCCATTCGCCACGCTACGTGCAGTGCCCGACGTTAATCGTGTTTCTTCACTTCTCAACTCAAATTTTCAATTTTCATTCCTTTTTTTTTTTTTTTCTTCTTTCGATTCCTTCGATTTGTTTTTATCTTGCTCTACCGAGCCGTTCTTCTCCAATCAATGAGATCAACAATTCAAGGATTTTTTTCCGAGCCTTCTAAGCTGCATGATGTATTCCATCATTCCCACCCACCTCTCTCTCTCCTCGCTTGTGACACAGATGACATACGATTGGTCTTGGGATTTCGGTACCCTTGATACATCTTCTGTCTGATGTCATTTTGAGAGTCTGGTGAGTTCCCGCGATTTGACAACTGTAGTATAGCTGAATTTGTCTGCTCTTTGCCATTCGGCACTGCCAGCGAGCTGGGGCCGTCCCGCTTCCATTGGTCATGCGTTGACCTGACTACTGGCGTCCGTGGCTATGGCTATCAATGCTCAGTTCCTTAAGATGTTTCACTAATTAGCGGCAAAGTATTGTCTTTGTCAGGACTACCAAACTTTGGTGTTTTGTTCCCGGACTCGTATGAATGTCCCCCTCGTACCTTCTGTTTGAATGGTGAGCCTCTACTCTATAACCACTGCTAGATTTGGCAACCTCTTAGGCTCTTTTTGGGACATTTAATGAATCCCGAGTCAGGTCTCGTAATATATACTTTTATGATGGAATTTAATATTGATTAACGCCGAAAAGGGCCATCATTCTGAAGTAAGATGTAGGTCAAATGCAGTTGTACTAGGGGGTAATCATCCAGACAGTCGTCACGGGTCGTAAGCGTAGATGTAGAAAAGAAAGAGACAGGAAATAAGAAGGAGAAGTGCAGTCAAGGCATCGACGAAAGCAACTGGAACAGATTTAGTAAACGCTCCCTTCGATACTTTGATTTTGCTTTTGCTGCTCTTCTAAGGATAATTCCTCGATGTGGAGATGAGTTGAGGAATCCGATGAAGAACTTTCTGGTCTTCGCGCCTGTGATTCCGAGTTGGATGACTCGTCTCCGTCGCCGAGAATATTGGCCATGCGGTGCTCGGGTTGGTCGGTGGAAGAAGAAACATGGTGGTGATAATAGTGATGGTATTGATGGGGATGGTGCAGACGAGGTTTCTTCGATTTCTCGGTGGCATTGCCGCTCATTTCGTCATCGCCGTCATCTTCGAGCTCCTGAGAGGGACCACGCTGTTGAGTCTGCTCGTTGGACGGGAATTCGAAATTTTGCTGGTTCTTATGGGACAAATTGCCAGTGGCGATGCCGGGAGAGGTCGGTACAACGCGACGGTGAGCATGATCGTCACTTTCGTCGTCGGATGGGGCGAGGCTGTTCGCTCCGCTCATGGAGCCTCCACCGTCACGGCCGCCAAGGTGGAAAAGGGCATACTTTAAGTGCACCGATGATGATGCAGCTGATGTGGGTGTATGGTCTTGGCTATTTCGGTTCAGTCCGTGCAAGTTTGGACGTTTTGGAGGCAATGGATTCACGTTTGGTCGGGCTTCGGAGCCTGAATCGTACTGCTTTGTGGTGTCTCTGTTGTCATTGTCGCGAAGTGTATGCTGCGGATTGGAGACGCGATGAACGCTGGGGTTGCGGCTGGTATCATCCTGGGCGAAATTGTCTTCTGAGAACGATACCACCTCGTCGATGGATATAGACTTGTGAAGTTTGGAGCCAAAGCCGCCTACATGGTCATCGGCATGCTTTGGTTGGGCATAGCTGGAATTCAATAGGTTCACTCGCAACGATTGTCTTCCCTCTGTAGTCATGCTGTGATTACAGCCGTCGGGGCAGCCGCCCCACTTGCGCCGAGTTGGGGTATTGTCTGTGTGACCGAGAGGTGGGATGGGCGCAGGGACCTGACCTTTCGATGCATTTTCACGATCTCGGTCTTTTCGAAGATCTGACCAGGTACGAAGCTTGTTCTGTAGTGTGTATTTCCCGTTTTCGGGATTGAGGGTCAATACTAGGAACTCGCAATGATTGATGTTGCGAAGGTCCTCAAAATACTCCACACTCCAGTGATACCACTTCATGAGAAATACTCGTGCCATGAGGCCGTGCGTAACAAGAACACAGACACTTGCAAAGTCATCCTCACCAAACTGGCGCCAGAGGGACTCGTTAAACCCACTAACTCGATCATAGGCATCTGCTGCGGATTCACCATTGGGAATCCGGTAGAAGAAATGACCGTAATCTGCCCGCTCCATCCACATGCGCTCCATCTCTGTGGAACATGGCTGGAAATTACCGAAATCTTGTTCCCGCAGCCGAGGTTCTTCATAAACCTTGATTGTGTCTTTCCGGAAAGGTGAAGGAGCGGGTGTATCAGAGGTTAGGGATTCAATAATTCCCTCGGTAGTCTCTCTTGTCCGCCGATATGGGGAGGTAAAGAAGTGAAGTGTATCGTCGGGTTGGAGAAGGTCACGTAGTCGACGGCCTGCATCATCGGCTTGTCGATATCCTTCAACAGTGAGCTTCACACGGTGGTCTGGAATAGTTTGATGAATATCGCGGTTTTTGTTGCCTTCTGACTGTGCATGGCGCACTAAAATTATCATCTATAAGTAGGAAAACTGTCAGTTTAAGCCAAGACATATGTCAATCACTCAGAAATAGAGACTTACCCGTGGCTTCCCCATGGTGGAAGGGTCATGGGGAACGTAATGGGTTTCGAATGCGGGGGAGAGGGGCTAGTAGAAGTATCCTATTTGCAGCCACAAGGACAACGAGGGAAAAAGAGAAGAAAAGAAGAGAACAATGATGACCTAAATATCTGTCTATCTAAAACAGAGAGAGAGGAGTCGAAAAAGCAAAGAAAAAGTTCATTCCAGTCGGGGATACAACTGACCCGCACGGGCCAACGGGCGGCTGATCCGTGGACCGTTCAGCGCTCCTCTTTTACGCATCTTACGAATAGCATCAACTCGCCATGGCCGATTTGCTGGAGCTACTCGCTCCACATCTAGATGCAACCAAATCGCACGATGTAACTACGGACAAATATCTCACTCGCCTCTCAACCTTGTCGCTCGAAGCTCTCCAGACCACAGAACCCCCATTGCTCGCCCAATCCTCCCACTCGACCCTTCTGTCCCTCCAAGCCCTATCGAACCGTTCGCACCGGGCATTTGTCACCTCTGCCGATAATTTGTCCACACTATGTACATCTGTCCCACAGTTGACCCGTGAGGCACAACAGCTACGCGATGCTATCCCCAAACTCGACGAGGAGGCCGTTGGGTTCTCCACCAAATACAGTAAAATCACAGACAATGCCGCCCTAGAACGACGGAAGAAAGCGATGCAGCTCTCTCGCAACGTCGATCGATTGTCAGATATCTTGGAACTACCAAGTCTGCTGTCCAAAGCCGTCTCCGCGGCCTCAGTCAACTCCGGTACCGGTGTCTCCTCTACAACCTACTCCTCTGCACTCGACCTGCATGCACATATCAAGCGACTACAAACATTATACCCCGAATCACCATTGATTCAAGACGTTGCATCCCAGGCGGAGGATGCTATGAAAGACATGACCAGTAATCTGATTACGGGGCTCCGAACCCAGAACCTACGGCTAGCAGCTGGTATCCGAACTGTGGGTTGGCTGCGGCGAGTGGCCCCGGATCTGGATATGATTCAGAGTGATGGGGCGGTCGGGACAGGAGAAGGCGCTCTTGGTGCTATCTTCCTGGTCTGCAGACTAGCGCATTTGGTATCGACGCTTGAAGCCCTGGATCCCCTCCGCGAGCTCGCGGACCAAGAAACCCAACGGAGACTCGCTGGCAAGGACAAATCAGACACGAACTCGTGGTCCGGTGGTCAGCAGACCGATCGCTACTTAAAAAGATACATTGAGATCTTCCGTGAGCAGAGCTTTGCAATTGTCTCGTTATACAAAAATATTTTTAACTCCGAGCAATCCGAATCCGAGTTTGCCATCTCAGGTTTACGAGGTGCAGACGTTCACTCCAAGGCCAAGTCAAAGCCAGCACACTCAGATGATCCCTTGCAACGTCTCCCCCCAGCGTTGGCTACTTTCCCAATGCATCTCGTGCAATTGCTCACGGATACAATGCGCTCATATCTTCCCAACGTCCGCGATCGGAGTTCAAGGGAAAGTCTTCTCACCCAGCTTCTTTACTGTGCCGCAAGTCTTGGTCGGCTAGGCGGTGACTTTGGCATGATTTTGACCGAGCTAGGCGGGGAAGAAGATACCGAAGATATGGCCTATGAATGGGAGGAGGTCATGCGCAAACATCGAGCTTTGGCAGGACGTCTGGAGCAATTGACCAGTCGAGTGCCGGTAAATTAACATTCATATACCCCGGAAGTATAATGCCATTTCGAGATGGTGGTGGCACTTGGTGGGGTCCGTGTATAATAGAACATAACGAAGCGTTTTTCTTGCCTTCTCAGTGGACTGTCTAATTGACATTATCCACATACAAATGCATCCAGATATTGTATACTTTGGCTGCCTCAAGATTCCAGCTAGCTAGCAATACTTCATCGCCGGGTTCTATTCTGTGCTGCTTGTATTCGCATTCCTAATATGCAGTTCCTGCGGGATGTTCTCGGTCATTGTCACGTCCGAGGATAGAGAGTCTGAATAAGCTGCCTTCGAACTCGGACTTTATGAACGGCAAAGGATCAATAGTCAGTAATTAGCCAAGACATTAGAGGAAAAAATTATATACAGGGGTAACATCAAGCTAACTGTAGTGTTGCCACAACTGGTTAGCTCTCATTTGCCGAGTGACTCACGAAGACTTCGAGGAGCTTTGCGCAGTTAAAATGCAATCATATATAAAGCGTGCAGTTATTCCACTTGGAAGCCTTGCAGTTAGCTTGGCTGCAAAATGGTTGTCCACTTTAATCCGCTCACTAAAGAGCCATATCTCCAACTCCCAGCACCATGTGCAAACATCATCATCACTCCACACCGTGAATACCAGATCGAGGAGGCATCCGCTGCAATGACCGAAATCCTTAATGACCCACGGGTGTACTCCTGGCTACAGGGGCCACCCTACCCTTTTCTGCCTGAGCACGGCATAGACTGGGTCAAGACGAAAGTAGCAGAAAACGAGGATGTCCTGTCTACTCTGCAAAGAGAATTCGAAACGCAAAGTCAGCAGGGCGACGGTTCAAATTCCCCAGAGGAGCTGGAGTTTTTTGATAAATGCCCTTTCATTTGTATCCGCAAAGTAACAGAAAGAGACCCTGCGACCGGCGCTCCGCTTCAAGATGTCTTGATCGGAGACATTTCACTGATGCG